ACCATTGCACTCCAGCCAGGATAACAAGAGTGAAACTCCATCTCAAAAAAAAAGAAAATGTAAAGGGACTGGGTGCAGTGGTTCACCCTAGCACTTCTGGAGGCTGAGGTAGGAAGATCACTTGAGTTCAGGAGTTTGAGACCAGCCTGGGCAACGTAGTGAGAACTTGTCTTTTTTTTTTTTTTTTTAAAGAAAAGAAAAAAGAATGAAAACAGTATCCTTTTACTGATTTCTCTGTTGATATAAGCAATACAATTTTTTTTTTTTTTTTTTTTTTTTTTTCAGACAGAGTCTTGCTCTGTCGCCCAGTCTGGGGTGCAATGGCACGATCTCAGCTCACTGCAACGTCCGCCTCCCGGATTCAAGCAGTTCTCCTGCCTCAGCCTCCTGAGTAGCTGGGATTACAGGCATGCACCAACCACCATGCCCCACTAATTTTTTTTTTTTTTTTTTTTGAGACGGAGTTTCGCTCTTGTTACCCAGGCTGGAGTGCAATGGCGCGATCTCGGCTCACCGCAACCTCCGCCTCCTGGGTTCAGGCAATTCTCCTGCCTCAGCCTCCTGAGTAGCTGGGATTACAGGCACGCGCCACCATGCCCAGCTAATTTTTTGTATTTTTAGTAGAGACGGGATTTCACCATGTTGACCAGGATGGTCTCGATCTCTTGACCTCATGATCCACCCGCCTCAGCCTCCCAAAGTGCTGAGATTACAGGCTTGAGCCACCGCGCCCGGCCTAACTTTTGTGTTTTTTAGTAGAGGAAAGGTTTTGTCATGTTGGCCAGACTGGTCTCGAATACCTGACCTCAGGTAATCCGCCTGCCTCGGCCTCTCACAGTGCTGGGATTACAGGCATCAGCCACAGCACCTGGCCTTGATTTTTAAGTATAGACTTTGTATCATCCAGCAACCTTGCTGAACTCTTGTACTAACTTAAATAATTTATCTGTGCTATCTTTTAGACTGGCTAACTATACAATCCTATCCCCTGAGATTAATGACAATTTTACTTCTTTGTTTTCCAGCCCTCCTTTTATTTCTTTTTCTGACGTTACTTCTGATGTCTGACATGATGTGGAATAGAAGCTTAGTAATTGGGGCTGTCCTTGTTCTTGATTTCAAAGGGAGGAAAGGCTTTTAGCATTTCCCCAATAAACATGTTTGCAGAAGCCTTTTAAAATGTGGAGACCCTTTATCAGGTTAAAGGTCTGTCTAATCTTTGTTGACTAAAAGTTCTAACCACAAATGGTATGACTTTTATCAAATACTTTTCTGCATCCATTAGATTATTCTGATTTTTCTTCTTTAATCTTTTATAATGTGCTAACTCATAGTAATTCATTCTCTAATGTTAAACCTAGCTTGCATTCATGAAATAAATTCAACAAGATCATGATTTCTATTATGCTTTCAATATATTGCTGGATTCCATTTGCTAACATGTTGCTTAGGACATTGACATTCATGTTCAGAAATGAGATTGACTTCTAACTTCTCTTTCTCGTGATACTCATGTGGGGCTTTTCCTCTTCTCAAGAAGACTTTTTAAGATTATCTTCCTTGCCGGGCGCGGTGGCTCAAGCCTGTAATCCCAGCACTTTGGGAGGCCGAGGCGGGTGGATCACGAGGTCGAGAGATCGAGACCATCCTGGTCAACATGGTGAAACCCCGTCTCTACTAAAAATACAAAAAATTAGCTGGGCATGGTGGTGCGTGCCTGTAATCCCACCTACTCAGGAGGCTGAGGCAGGAGAATTGCCTGAACCCAGGAGGCGGAGGCTGCGGTGAGCCGAGATCGCGCCATTGCACTCCAGCCTGGGTGACAAGAGCGAAACTCCGTCTCAAAAAAAAAAAAAAAAAAAAAAAAAAAAGATTATCTTCCTTGAAAATTTGATTGAAATCATCTATATAATGGCATCTGGGCCTTTAGCTTGGGTTTTTGGGTTTCGCTTTAAGGAAAGATTTTTGGCTACTGATTATTTAGGTTTTCCATTTTAACTTCTGCTTTGTAGGTTGTGATCTCTTCTTGCCATCCTTGAGAATGGTTATTTATGCTTTCTCTTTTGTTTTCATGATTGGTTTTGCCAGAGGTTTGTCAATTGTATTCGCTTTTTCAAATAACCAGTTTTGTTTGGCTTTGTGGCTTTGTCAGTTCTTGTTCTTCTTCTTCTTGTTCTTCTTCTTCTTCTTCTTCTTCTTCTTCTTCTTCTTCTTCTTCTTCTTCTTCTTCTTCTTCTTCTTCTTCTTTCTTCTTCTTCTTCTTCTTCTTCTTCTTCTTCTTTCTTCTTCTTTCTTCTTCTTTTCTTCTTCTTCTTCTTTCTTCTTCTTTCTTCTTCTTTCTTCTTCTTCTTTCTTCTTCTTTCTTCTTCTTTCTTCTTCTTTCTTCTTCTTCCTTCTTCTTCCTTCTTCTTCCTTCTTCCTTCTTCCTTCTTCCTTCTTCCTTCTTCTTCTTCTTCTTCTTCTTCTTTCTTCTTCTTCTTCTTCTTCTTTCTTTTCTTCTTCTTCTTCTTCTTTTCTTCTTTCTTCTTTCTTCTTTCTTCTTCTTTCTTCTTTCTTCTTCCTTCTTCCTTCTTTCTTCTTCCTTCTTCCTTCTTCTTCCTTCTTCTTCCTTCTTCTTCCTTCTTCTTCCTTCTTCTTCTTCCTTCTTCTTCCTTCTTCTTCTTCCTTCTTCTTCCTTCTTCTTCCTTCTTCTTCCTTCTTCTTCCTTCTTTTTTTGTGACAGAGTCTTGCTCTGTCACCAGGTTGGAGTGCAGTGGTGCAATCTCGGCTCACCGCAACCTCTGCCTTCCAGGTTCAGATGATTCTCCTGTCTCATCCTCCCGAGTAGCTGGGACTACAGGTGCATGCCACCACACCTAGCTAATATTTATATTTTTAGTAGAGATGGGGTTTCACCATGTTGGCCAGGATGGTCTCTATCTCTTGACCTCAGGTGATCTGCCCACCTCGGCCTCCCAAAGTGCTGGGATTACAGTCATGAGCCACCGTGCCTGGCCAGTCCTTCTTCTTATATTAATATATTCATTTTTGTTTCATTAATTTCTATTTTTATCTGTATTATTTCCTTTCTACCTTCATATTTTTGCTGTTGTTGACTTTTTGACAGAGATGTTTATTAACTTTTTTCTGTTAACGTTAATTATAAAATTCCCCTTCAATTACCACTTTATTTGTATCTCAGAGTTCTTATGAATAGTATTTTTCATTAGTCATTAGAGTTCCAAATATTTTGTAATATCCGATAGGCTTTCTTGTTCTCGGATTTTATTTTGTTTTTCTGAGACAGTCTTGCTCTGTCACCCAGGCTGGAGTGCAGTGGTGTCATCTTGGCTCACAGCCCCCTTGACCTCCTATGCTCAAGTGATCCTCACACCTCAACCTCCCAAGTAGCTGGGATTATAGGTGCATGCCACCGTGCCCAGCCAACTTTTTTTTTCTTTTTGTTTTTTTCTTTTCTGAGACAGGGTTTTACTCCCATTGCCCAGGCTCATCTCACTACAACTTCTGCCTCCCCAGCTCAAGCAGTCCTCCTGCCTCAGCCTCCCAAGTAGCTGGAACTAAGGCCACACCTGGCTAATTTTTGTACTTGTAGTAGAGACAGGATTTTACCATGTTGGCCAGGCTGGTCTCGAACTCCTGACCTCAAGTGATCCACCCACCTTGGCCTCCCAAAGTGCTGGGATTAAAGGGATGAGCCACTGTGCCCAGCCCTTTTTTTTTTTATTTATTTTTTGTGAGACAGGGTCTCAGTCTGTCACCCAGGCTAGAGTGCAGTGGTATGATCCTAGCTCACTGCAGTCTCTGACTCTTGGGCTGAAGCAGTCCTCCCACCACCCTCTCCCAGGTAGCTGAGATTGCAGGCATGCACTACCATGCCTGGCTAATTTTTTTTACTTTTAGTAGAGACAAGGTCTCACCTATTGCCCAAGCAGGTCTCCTAAGCTCAGGCAGTCCTCCTGCCTTGACCTCCCAAATTGCTGTGATGATAGGAGTGAGCCACTGTGCCCGGCCTTTTGTTTGTTTGTTTTTAATTTTTTGTAGAGATGGGATCTCTCTATGTTGCACAGGCTGGTCTGTAACTCTTGGGTTCAAGGGCTCCTCCTGCCTCAGCCTCCCAAAGCATTTGGATTAGAGGAGTGAGCCTCCATACCTGGACATGTTTCTTAATTTCCAAACATAAAGGGAAATGTTTACATTTCTGGTTTGCATTTTATATGGAATTCTAGGTTAATTACCTTGTGGTCAGAATACCTGCTGTCAGTGATTTCAGTCCTTTGAAATGTGTGAAAGTTAGTAATAAAATAGTCATACAGTTTTGTAATCTGCCTTTGATGCTTTGTAACATTGTTGCTTTGGGATTTATTTTTAATTGCTCAGTTTGCTACGAATCTTGAATGGAAATAAATTTGCCTAAAATTCAGAATGATTGACTTTTTGTTTTTGTTTGAGATGGAGTCTCATTCTCTTGCCCAGGCTGGAGTGCAGTGGCGCAGTCTCGACTCACTGCAACCTCTACCTCCTGGGTTCAAGTGATTATCTTGCCTCAGCCTCCCAAGTAACTGGGACTGCAGGCATGTGCCATCATGCGTGGCTAATTTTTGTATTTTTAGTAGAGACAGGGTTTCACTGTGTTGGCCAGGCTGGTCTCGAACTCTTACCTCGTGATCCACCCACCTTGGCCTCCCAAAGTACTGGGATTACAGGTGTGAGCCACCACGCCTGGCCATTGTTGACTTTTTAATTTGTCAGCATAAAACAGTATATAAAAATGTTTCAGTGGGAAGTGTACTTGATTTTCCCTTTGATCTGAAATAGCTACATCCTTGCTTTCAGCCCTGCATGGCTGAAATCGATGTTTATTTGCTCTAATAGGTCTGTCTTGTTTGGTTATATTACTTTAGTCAAGGCCAGCCACATTTTTATTAAGCTGGTAAGTAAAGCCCATCTACTTGCATTGAGAACACTGCATAAAATCTAGCTGCTTCTTGGTTTTTCTCTAGGCCCGAGGTATGAAGAAGCAAATCATTGATGACTTTATCGCCCAAAACAAGTATCTGTTGGCAGCCAGGCTCACCAGCCAGAAGTTGTTCCATGAACTCTGCCCTGTGAAACGGTCTCACCGACAGAGAAAGTAAGGACTCAAGGCTTTCCCTCTGCTTGTCATTACAATAGAAGGATCATGTTGCATTTTACTATAGGGTAACTGGACATCTGTCCTGTAACAGTGAGAACTTATTCTTCATTTCACAAATACTGATTAGTAACTATGATGGTAATGGGATGTATTAGTCCAGGGCACCTTAGCACCAAATTGTTGGATGTGCCAGCCTGTCCTAGTGGTCAGAGAACACTTCCCTAAGACGTAACACTTCAGCTCAGACCTGAGGGATGAGCACAGTTTAGCCAGGAGTCCGGGAGTGACTGGGTCACTTTACAGAAGCATGGAATATGGAAGAGTTATTATCCCCACCAGAGCATTCCACTCAGGGTGAGTCTTCAGAGGTCTTTGGGAAGGAGCAAGGATGATGATTAAACAGTATAGAAGTATAGAGTACTGAGAAAATGGATTAGTGGGAATCAGGAAGGCTAAGTTACTTGCATTCAATAAAGTATGAAGAGTTACTATACCAAGTATCTTAAAAGTCTAGAATTTCAAGGAATATATTCATCATACCTTCGCAGGTGAAAGAGTCAGTGGCTTTAAATTTAGGGCTGTTTTCATCTGTAAAAGGTATCTGGATATAGAAGGAAAATGTTATCAATCATGTTATTTGAAAATATGAAACATAAATAATTTCCCAGTGTTTCTTGGCTTTTCAGATTCCTTTATAGTCTTAAGAGTGAAGAAAAAAATGACTTAAATATAAAAAAAGAATATCCTTGACTGTAAGGATTGTTTACGCAGCCTTCAAAAAATATCCCAAATCCACACACTTCTCACTTTAAAAAAAAAATTTTTTTTTTTTTTTTGAGACGGAGTTTCCCTCTTGTTGCCCAGGCTAGAGTACGATGGCACGATCTTGGCTCACTGCAACCTCTGCCTCCTGGGTTCAAGCGATTCTCCTGCCTCAGCCTCCTGAGTAGCTGGGATTACAGGCATGCGCCACCATGCCCAGCTAGTTTTTAGTAGAGACTGGGTTTCTTCATGTTGGTCAGGCTGGTCTCGAACTCCCGACCTCAGGTGATCCACTTGCCTTGGCCTCCCAAAGTGCTGGGATTACAGGCATGAGCCACCATGCCCAGCCTTAATTTTTTTTTTTTTTAATCATTACACTGGAACAAGCCACCATCATCTCCCAGTGAGACCCCCTGCAGGCTTCCAACTAGTCTCTCTGCTCCATTCCACTCTTACACCCTCCAGGCAGGTGTCCACACATGAGCCAGTGATCTTTGAAAGTGCGAATCAGGGCCGGGCACAGTGGCTCACATCTGTAATCCCAGCACTTTGGGAGGCCAAGGTAGGTGGATCATGAGGTGAGGAGTTCGAGACCAGCCTGGCCAAGATGGTGAAACCCCGTCTCCCTGTCTCTACTAAAAATACAAAAATTAGCCAAGCACGGTGGCACATACCTATAATCCCATCTACTCAGGAGGCTGAGGCAGGAGAATCACTTGAACCCGGGAGGCGGAGGTTGCAATGAGCTGAGATCGTGCCATTGCACTCCAGCCTGGGCAACAGAGTGAGACTCCGTCTCAAAAAAAGAAAGTGCAAATCAGATCCAGTCACTCTCTATCCTGGGGTCTTTGCACTTGGAGTTCTCTCTGCCTGGGATGCTCTGACCCCATTTCTTCTCATGACAATGTCACCTTCTCAGTTGGCATTTCCCTGACTAACCTGTCTGATAGACAGTGACTTCTACCCTCTCTGGCCTCTCTCTGTCCCCTGTTCTTCATCTTTTTTTTTTTTTTTTTTTTTTTCAAATAGCACTTGTTGATACCTGTCATGATGTATCTGTTTTTATTTGTTTTCTATCTTCCCCACTGGAATATCAGCTCCATGAGGGCAAGAATATTGTCTGTCTTACCTGGCATATAGTAAGTGCTCAGTAAATATTTTTGGGAGAATGAATAGCTAAACTTTCCATTGGAACTTTGCAGAAGAAGCCCTTTGGAATGATGCTCAGTGGACTCTGGCCCAAGAGAGATTTGACCAGCCCTCCCTGTAGTGGAAGAACTAGGACAAACAGTTTCTAAAAGGCCCTGCTGACTAGGAGCAGCGGCTCACACCCCTAGAATCTCAGCACTTGTGGGGCCAAGGTGGGTGGATCACTTGAGGCCAGGAGTTCAAGACCAGCCTGGCCAACATAGTGAAAACCCGTCTCTACTAAAAATACAAAAACCAGCTGGGTGAGGTGGTACATGCCTGTAATCCCAGCTACTTGGGAGGCTGAAGCAGAGTCATTTTAACTCAGGAGGCAGAGTTACAATGAGCTGAGATTGCACCACTGCACTCCAGCCTGGACAACAGAGCAAGACTCCACCTCAAAAGATAAAAGTCCCTACTACATCAGAGATTCAGTGACCAATCCCTTAAAAGAAATTCATTCCAGGCACAGTGGCTCATACCTATAATCCCAACACTTTGGAAACCTGGGATATGAGGATTGCTTGAGGGCAGGAGTTCAAGACCAGCCTGGGCAATATAAACAAAACTGTATATAATTTCATATGTTATATATAAAATTTAAAAATTCCTAAATGTGGTAAAGAAGTTTGGTTTGGGAAAAACATCACAGATTGGGAAAAGAAACAGTTTGTTAATGGCTTGGAAATCTTCCCTTAGTAGAGCTGTCAGCTTTCACTGGGCACAGTATATTCACTTCTGTATGATGAGCTTCTCTTCACCTTCACTTGCCATTATAAGTGCTGGCCCTGCCGTCAGGGGTTAGTTATAAAGCTTTCTCTTTTTGTTGTTGTGCAGGTACTGTGTGGTTTTATTGACTGCTGAGACTACCAAGTTGAGCAAACCCTTTGAGGCTTTCCTGTCCTTTGCCCTGGCAAACACACAAGACACAGTGAGATTTGTACATGTCTACAGCAATCGGCAGCAGGAGTTTGCCAACACCTTACTACCAGACAGTGAGGTGTTTCAAGGAAAATCAGCGGTGAGCCACAGAGTCTCTCCTCATCCCAGGCTCTTCACAAGCACGTGGCACTTGACTCTGTTTCCTTCTTCCTTGGGAGTGTTGAATACAGATTCTAGGAAATCTGGAACTCTGAAAGCTATTTTCAAAGCCTATTCTTTTTTTTTTTTTGTGAGACAGAGTCTTGCTCTATCGCCAGGCTGGCATGCAGTGGTGCGATTCTCGGCTCACTGCAACTTCCATTTTCCGGTTTCAAGCGATTCTTCTGCTGCAGCCTTCCAAGTAACTGGGACTACAGGCATGCACCACCACGCCCGGCTAATTTTTTGTATTTTTAGTAGAGACAGGGTTCACCACGTTGGCCAGGATGGTCTCGATCTCTTGACCTCATGATCCGCCCACCTCGGCTTCCCAAAGTGCTGGGATTACAGGCTGGGGATATAGTGACATGATCTTAGCTCACTGTTGCCTCAACCTCCCAGGCTCAAGTGATCCTCACACCTCAGCCTCCCAAATAGCTGGGACTACAGGCATACATCACCACACCTGACTAATCTTTTGTGTTTTTTGTAGAGATAAGATTTCGCCATGTTGCCCAGGTTGGTCTCAAACTCCTGAGCTCAAGCAGTCCACCCGCCTCAGCCTCCCAAAGTGCTGGGATTACACGAGTCACCGTCCCCAGCCGAAAGCCTACTCTTAAAATAATTTTTTACCTGGTCCGTTTACATTCTGTATGTCAGCCTCAGACCTCCACAGAAAGCATCTTTTCTATCAGTAAATGTTAAAGGTCACCAGTCGTTTTCACCAGTTTTTACTATGGCAAGTCTGGTCTTGCAGCATCCTAGATCCTAGATTTTACAAACCTTTAGGCCACCAGTAATGTGCTCTAGAAAATTCTGCCTCTGTCTGCCTCTTTCACTTTCTCCTGGTTGATCTCTCCTGCCTTTCCCCACCATGGTCATCACTCCCTACGGAAATAAGAAATTCTCCTCTGACTTTTCCAGCATTTTGGCAATCATTGGAAAATCTCCCTAAAAACAAAGGTTTCCCTTAATATTAAGTCAAAGATTATAGAACAAAATCTGTTGAGAAAAAAAAGAGCTTTAACTTTTAACAAAAGGTTAGGAAAGTCACCGTAAAAGTTGTTTCTTGGGCCGAGCATGGTAGCTCACACAACCCCAGCACTTTGGGTCACCGAGGTGGGGGAATCACTTAAGGCTAGGAGTTCAAGACCAGCCTAATCAATATGGTGAAAACCCGTCTCTACTAAAAATACAAAAATTAGCCAGTGTGATGGTGCATGCCTGTAGTCCCAGCTACTCAGGAGGCCGAGGCATGATAATTGCTTGAACCCAGGAGGCAGAAGTTGCAGTGAGTCAAGATGATATCACTGCACTGCAGCGTGGGTGACAGGGTGAGACTGTCTCAAAAAAAAAAGTTACTTCTTTTGTAAGAAAGATTTAGGTCTGTTGCAAATATTGTAGAATCATCAATATTTGTGTTTAATTTTATTGCTGACTTCACTGGGTCCTTTTTTCCATCCTCTCTGAAAAAACAACTGTGGCTGGGCGTGATGGCTCACGACTATAACGCAGCGCTTTGGGAGGCCAAGGCGAGTGGCTTACCTGAGGTCAGAAGTTTGAGAGCAGCCTGGCCAACATGATGTAACCCCATCTCTACTAAAAATACAAAAACTAGCTGGGCATGGTGGTGCACACCTGTAGTCCCAGCGACTAGGGAGGCTGGGGTAGGAGACTTGCTTGAACCTGGGAGGCGGAGGTTGCAGTGAGCCAAGATCAAGCCATTATACTCCAGCCTGGGAGACAAGAGTGAGACTCCATCTCAAAAAACAAACAACTGTAGCTTAATCATGCTTTTGAAACTTCTGATGGTTTTTCTCTCCTTTTCTTCCAGGTGTCTATCTTAGAAAGGCGCAACACAGCGGGAAGGGTGGTGTATAAAACCCTAGAAGACCCTTGGACTGGGAGTGAGAGTGATAAATTCATCCTCTTGGGTTATCTCGACCAGCTGCGTAAAGATCCAGCTCTTCTGTCCTCTGAAGCAGTGCTTCCCGACCTGACCGATGAACTTGCTCCTGTGAGCATTGAGGCCGGGAAGGGTGGGACGCCAGGAGGGCTCATAAGCACACAATGCTGGTGGCAGATTTCTGCTCTGAGCAGAGGTCCAGCAGCGCACTGTGTTGCAGGGTAGAGGGACTCTGCCTTTGGGGTTCAGTCCTGACCATCATCCATTTTCTGTCTACGTAGGTTTTTCTCCTTCGATGGCTCTTCTCTGCTTCTGACTACATCTCAGACTGCTGGGATAGCATAGTTCACAACAACTGGTAGGGATATTGCTAGGTTGAATTTCCTTTTCTCTGTTAATACTGTGTCACTGTTTTTCTTTTGAAAAGAGTTTGTCATTATTAAATTTCAGTGTACACTTGATGGGGCAAGTGGAAGAACGTTTACAGTTTTTCTTTTCTTTTCTTTTTTTTTTTTTGAGATGGAGTTTTGCTCTTGTTGCCCTGACTGGAGTGCAAGGGCGCTCTCTCGGCTCACCGCGACCTCCGCCTCCTGGGTTCAAGGGATTCTCCTGCCTTAGCTTCCCAGGTAGCTGGGATTACAGGCTTGTACCACCGTGCCTGGCTAATTTTGTATTTTTAGTAGACATGGAGTTTCTCCACATTGGTCAAGCTGGTCTCGAACTCCCAACCTCAGGTGATGCGCCTGCCTCAGCCTCCCAAAGTTCTGGGATTATAGGCATGAGCCACCATGCCCAGCCACTTCCCTTTTTTCATATTGGCTGACTGATGCTTTCTCGCTGGCTGGGAAAGGATCAGCCATGGCTACCATTCTGGGCAGCAGAGCCTGGGACTGTCTCTTCATCGGGAAACCTCTGGTGCCTGGCACAGGACCTGACACACATGGAGTCCAGTGAATAGATGTAAAATGCATGAGTGAAATAACCTGCAGAGGGAGACCCACTGCCACCCACTGATGAACTCATGAGCCCCTGAAGGCAGAACCACATCTCATTCATGTTTGTGATTCCTGGCACCCAACACAGTGCCTGAAAAGTGGCAGGCCTTTGATGAATGTTGGTGGGTGCATAAAATTTCAGAACACCAGTCCTAGATGAAATCTTGCAAGATCTGTTTTGTCTCCCTACTCTACCCTTCTGGGCTACATCTGAATTATTCTGGCCAGAAAAAAAATCAGTAAAGTTGAAATAATTCCACATTATCAGAAAATTCTTCCGTATTTATACCTTAAATCCTTTCTTATTCCTTTTATCGTTTCCTTATGCAGAATTTATGAGGCATAGCCTTTTTTTTTTTTTTTCCTGAGATGGAGTTTTGCTCTTGTTGCCGAGGCTGGAGTGCAATGGTGTGATCTCAGCTCACTGCAACCTCCGTCTCCCGGGTTCAAGCGATTCTCCTGCCTCAGCCTCCTGAGTAGCTAGTATTACAGGCATGCACCACCATGCGCAGCTAATTTTGTAATTTTTTTGAAGTAGAAATGGGGTTTCTCCATGTTGGTCAGGCTGATCTCGAACTCCCAACCTCAAGTGATCTGCCTGCTTTGGCCTCCTAAAGTGCTGGGATTACAGACGTGAGCCACTGCGCCTGGCCAAGCATAGACTATTATACTGAGCTATAAAATCAAACTTTTAGACTACACTCTCTGTGAATTAGAACACTGAGCAAACAATCTCTACCTTTTCCTCTACTACCACCCCCCACCAGGAAAATTTCTGTTTTCCTGAAATTAGTAAGAGTTTATTGGTGTGAATAATTTCTGGTTTGGGATTTTTCTCTTTTTTTGAGCTAGAGAGATGAAAGTTTAACTTGAGCTAATAGTGCGCCAATTTGGTTTTAGGCGAGAAATGATGCCTCTGCTGTCCCTGATCTTCTCTGCCCTCTTCATCCTCTTCGGCACAGTCATCGTTCAGGCTTTCAGGTAAATGTCCTGTGGCTTCTCACTGCACCTCCATGCTTGGTGTTGACACTTTTTTTGTAAAACTGCTTTTTTCTTATTTTAGTGATTCGAGTGATGAGCGAGAGTCAAGCCCTCCAGATAAAGAGGAAGCCCAAGAGAAGACTGGGAAGACTGAGCCCAGCTTCACCAAAGAAAACAGCAGGTTTCTCTAACAAAACACCAAACTTACCTCCCTGGCACCTACCCCCCAGATCATGTCATCTAATAACACAGCATTGGAACATACAGTATAGAGAAGAACTCTCCTGCACCTCCTTCCATGTAAAGTGTGGATACAAGGAAAAGTCACTGTGACTTGTGTTTAGTAAGGGCCTCTAGGTGTTTAGATGCCTTAGATTTCACAATGATGGCAGAAGGAAAGAAGCATGTCAGGCAAGTGGTAGGTGAGCCAGAAGCAGGACGTGGTTTGTCCCTGTAATTGTCAATGAACGTGACCAGTCTTGAGCGCACACACACATCCAGCAGTGAGAGGCCCGGGTCTCTGAGATGAAGAACACAGACTGAGTGATAGTTTTCTTCATGTCCTAGAGCAACTTCTGCACCTGAAAAGCAGCATCAAGTCGGGCACAGTGGCTCACACCTGTAATCCCAACACTACAAAGCCAAGGTGGGAGGACCGCTTGAGCCCAGGATTTGAGACTAGCTTAGGCAACATGGCAAGACCCTGTCTCTGCACAAAATTTATAAAATTAGCTGGATGTGGTGGCAGGCACCTGTGGTCCCAGCTGCTTGGGAGGCTGAGGTGGGAGGATCACTTGAGCCCAGGAGGTCGAGGCTGCAGTGAGCCATGATTATGCTGCTGCACTCAAGCCTGGACAACAGAGTAAGACCATGTCTCAAAAAGAAAAAGAAAAGCAGCACAGAAAGACTGTGTGTAGGTCAGGGATTACCAAGTCAGACCATCCCCATCCTACTAATGTCTTAGGCTCAAAAATCGTGAATAACATACCTAGTCTGGTTAGAACGTAGCATTTTCTTTCACTTGTTCCTTTTCAAAGTAATGGCTTTCCCCTATCCTGACAGCATCTTAACTCCTCAATATTTCTCCACAGCAAGGTTCCTAAAAAAGGCTTTGTGGAGGTAACTGAACTCACAGATGTAACATACACCAGTAACTTGGTACGCCTGAGGCCGGGCCACATGAATGTGGTCCTTATCCTGTCGAATTCTACCAAGACCAGCCTACTACAGAAATTTGCTTTGGAGGTCTACACATTTACTGGGTAAGCGTGTGTGTGTGCGCGCATGTATGTATGTATGTGTGTGAGAGGGGCAGTGCACTGAAATTGCACACTTTTCTCTTTGGTCTTATGGGGCTTTATTTGTGTGGCAAGATGCTGGCTGTGACCTTTCCAATCCAGACATCTGAGCCACAGTTAGGGACCTCTTTTCCCACTTCACTTCGTGTTCTGTTGGTTCTGGACAGAAAAGCTTGAACTCAGTGTTATTCTCTGAGCCCTTTCAGCAAACTGACTGTTCTCTAGCCCTAGTGTGTTTTCCAGAAGACCAATGTAAGTTCCGCGGAGCAAGGGATGGGGGAGTGGGTGATTGAAGTTGTCGCAGCTGCTGGAGAGGCGCTGGCTCCCACAGAAAGCCTTTGTTTCTCTGTGTTCAGGCCCCACCCGACACAAAGCATTTTCCTATGATTTTAAGTTTCACTGGGGTATTTATTTTCTCAGCAGTTAAATGTGTCAGGAAATACCCTGAGTCCTCATTCTCTTCTTCCTACAGGAGCAGCTGCCTACACTTCTCCTTCCTGAGTCTAGATAAACACAGAGAATGGCTAGAATACTTACTAGAATTTGCTCAAGATGCAGCCCCAATCCCAAACCAATATGATAAGCATTTCATGGAACGTGACTACACTGGTTATGTACTGGCCCTGAATGGCCACAAGAAATACTTCTGCCTCTTCAAGCCCCAAAAAACAGTCGAAGAGGAGGAAGCCATGGGGTCATGCAGCGATCTTGACTCTTCCCTCCACCTGGGCGAATCTCGAGGGAAACCTGCCTGTGGTCTTGGACCTAGGCCCATCAAAGGAAAGTTGAGCAAGCTCTCCTTGTGGATGGAACGCCTGCTGGAGGGCTCCTTACAGAGGTTTTATATCCCATCGTGGCCTGAACTAGACTGAGAAGATTTTCAAAAGGGATTTGAACTCTTCAGACTTTTTAACATGCCCCTGTGAACAGGTATTTTTAGGACTCAAACGACCATAATGAACAGAGTATAGATTTTAGATTGCTCTTCTAGAACCATGGCTAGAAGAATCTTTCCTTTGTCCTATTCTAACCTAGGAATGAAAAACACCACAAGTTTGAATTCCCTAGATCAAAATCTTTTCCCCTGGGTTTTATTTTCCTTGCCACACCATTGAAAATAGACTGCTCATCCCCTCTTCTTTCTCATCCTGGTCCCATGCTCACCCCACCCTCTGTCCTGTGTCTTGGAGAAACACAGGGCTCCACCCGGCAAACGGCATCTGGCGGACCCTCCTGAGCCTGTCTCGCAGGCCGGGTCATTGGCCCCTTCCCCAGCCCCGGCCCGGCTATGCTGCTGCCATGGCGCATGCTCTTAACCCTGAACAAACCACAGCAGCTTCTAGCCCCGCATCTGGAAAGAGACCGCTTTCCAAGCAATCTCACATTTACTGGTTGTTCTGGGAGTAATTGGCTAAAAGTATATTTGGGGGATATCTCCCCAACAACAGTTTGTTGGCCAGGATTTGAAAAGGAAAGGAGTGAGCGGGCGTTCTGCATGTGAGTTCACAAGAAAAGGAAAGGGAGGCTGTGCAGTGGCTGAAGCCACGCAGCTTTGAGATGTGCTGTGAGCATCGCATCTGTTGCCCCAGCGCTGCTGGTGGCCAGGGGAGGGTCTGCACAGCAAGAAGTACTGTGATGACTTTGAGCTGTTGACATGTATGTTTTCAGATGCCTTTCTGCCTCTATCGATTTTAGGGTACGGATATTAGGAGCCATAACTTGTAATCTTGTTCTCTGAACGTAGAGATAAGCTGCTATAAAGCCAGTAGATGTTAAACTGAAGAGAAATTATTCCCACCCGCTGTGAGTCAGGCTCAAGAAACCTCTTCACTCTAATAGTATCTCTTTAGTAAAATACCAGCCATGTCTTTGTATCAAGGAACTTCAAATTTCTCAACAATTGTATTTTGAACACTGTTACCCCAAAAGTGCCGTATCTTCAAGTCATCTTTTGTAGCAAGTGAGCCAAGACTTATTCTAGACTCCCATTTTGCAGAAGGCTTACTTTCCACTTCTGGCCTGTATTTTGATGTCTCATCTTCATTGTTTTCGCTCTTAACTTACAGCTGTTTCACGAGTAACGGGGTCAGACTGGCTGTCAGCACCTGAGCGTGCTGAGCTCCAGTGTATAGTGGTCCCCAGGCTGGCTCATACCAGCCAGTTAGAGAGCATACCCTTTATTTTTCAGGGCAGAACCACCAATGCTTCTGAGTTTGTTTGGACAGTTTCAAAGAGTGGTCCATTCAAACGTCAAAGCAAGTTGTCTTTGGCAGCTTTGTGAAGGGTGAAAATCAGTGATGGGACATTTACTAAGTTAGTATTCCTTTAAGCCACTTGGATCCTGAATAATTTAAATCTTGAGCTACATTGGCAAGTAATAAATTATTTAAGGCTAGGAATTCCTGTAGTTTTCATGGAGTCTATAGCTTTATTAGAAAAGAAAATCACTGCCAGGCTTCATTCTCCCATATGATCCTCTAAAAAGAACACTTCCTCTGAATGCTGTATCTCTCTTTTTTTTTTTTTTTTTTTGAGACGGAGTCTTGCTCTGTTGCCAGACTGGAGTGCAGTGGTGCGATTTCTGCTCGCTGCACCTACACCTCCCGGATTCAAGTCATTATCCTGCCTCAGCCTCCTGAGTAGCTGGGATTACAGGTGCCCACCATCATGCCCAGCTAATTTTTGTATTTTTAGTAGAGACGAGGTTTCACCATGTTGGCCAGGATGGTCTCGATCACTTGACCTTGTGATCTGCCCACCTTGGTCTCCCAAAGTGCTAGGATTACCAGTGTGAGCCACCACACCTGGCCTGAACGCTGTATCTCATGGCACCTGGGCCAAATAGAAATGGTCAAGGAATTCATTTGGCTCCTTGATACATCAGTCCTCAGAATTACTTTCTGGGTCTTTTATGGCCAGGTTGTTTATATAAATAGTGTTTTGGTTTGGTAGTAGGCTTTAATTTTTAATTTCTGGTACTAATGAAATTTCTGACTTTAATTTCTGAAAACCAAAAACTCTCCAAGTTTATTTATTTATTTTTTTAAATGGAGGTCTTGCCATGTTGCCCTGGCTGCTCTCAAACTCCTGGCCTCAAGCAGTCCTTCCACTTTGGCCTCCCAAAAGGCTGGGATTATCAACATGAGCCACCATGCCAGATTTATTCATTTTTTAGAATTTTTATTAAAATAAAAAGCACCTTCAGACAGCTGCACCTTCCATTTGCACTAGGAAAGGAAAGTAGTAGTGGGATTGGCAAGGTTTCTGGCAGATGTTTCATCCCAAAAATTCTACAGATCCATTTGGAGCTGGTGCCCTATGAGGCCATTAGGGAGCTTTTATTGTCAATTGAACTTTACCCTTGACCATGCAAGGCTTTCCTCCTGAATGCTTCCATGAATTTGTTTACTTTTGTGTCAAACATATGAGCCATTGTCATGCCCAGCCTGTGCCACCATTGCTCTGTCTGATGTCTGAGGTATGTAATCATACAAGACCTAGTTTTGGTTCTAACACTCTGGTCTTTGAATATCAACACTGATGTTTTTAGAGATGGGTTCTTCTGGTTGATACAGACTATGCATCACGTTTAGCAGATGGGGTGAAACAGGCCTAAGACAGGTCTTTGCAGAATACATGCCAATTTCAAAAAAGAAAAAAAATTTATTGCTCAGGTGTTTGTTGCACAATTTTTGTCTGACACTGAGGTTATCAGCTCCAAGTAAAGAATATCTCAGTCGGGGAAGCTGCCCTAACTTCCATTAGGGGCTGTGGTCTCACTGCCATCCATCACTTATTAGCCGTGAGAATTCGGTTGTAGTTTTCAGGTAGATTGGTTTCTTCCTCATTTGCAGCCTATTGATATTTGTTCCCTTTTATTAATGTCCCAATCCATTTGCAGCTGCCATCATTGCATAAATACTTTTCTATTACAAAAAGAAGTATAATCTGACTTTTTTTTAGTGATTTCCTTTGTTTGGGAATGGAGATTGGAAGCACATACTCAGACCTTTTTTGATTAAGTAGAATCCTTTCTTTTTTTCCTTTCTTTCTTTCTTTTTTTTTTTTTTTGAGATTCAGTCTCACTCTGCTGCCCAGGGTGGAATGCAGTGGCAGGATCTCGGCTTACTGCAACCTCTGCCTCCCGGGTTCAAGCAATTCTGCCTCAGCCTCCTAAGTAGCTGGGATTACAGGCCCGTGCCACCACGCCCAGCTAATTTTTGTATTTTTGGTAGAGATAGGGTTTTACCATGTTGGTCAAGCTGGTCTCAAACTCCTGACCTCATGATCCACCTGCCTCAGCCTCCCAAAGTGCTGGGACTACAGGCGTGAGCCACCATGCCCGGCCTTAAATAGAATTATTTAAAAGCTGATGCCAAACATCTTTACAGATGAACTGTAGTTCCCATCCACATGTCTGACATTGTCCCTTAAAAACAAATGCAGTGTGGCAGCTGCTGAATCTGTTCAGTCTGTCAAGGAGGATGATTACTTGGGAGGGATCTGAAAAGAAGGTGAATATTTTGCACTTTTGATACTCTTAGGAACAAATAACTTATTGGCAAATTGTTTCTTTTTTATGTTTTGGGTGTTTTTTTGTTTTTTGACTTTTTTTGTATTGTGAACAGGCACTGAAGCTGATATTATTTTAAGATTACAGAATGGAAAAAGAAATAAACTATTTTAATGTGTGATAATTATGGGGCAGCCCTTGCATTGCAAGATGATGATTTATTTGATCATGGACACATTATCAGCGACATTGAATGTTAATGTACTCAACATATGCTTCAGATCAGCACAGCTTAACTGCAGATTTCAGGAATTGCTGTCATAGAGGGTACAGCAACTTGAAGAGTAGATACTACAAAATTGAGTCTTACAGGAAGTGAGTTAGAATAAGTAACATTAAGAGCCCAGCTGATGTTTTTTTTTGTTTTGTTTTGGGTGAAGAGGGCATTTATTTATTTATTTATATTTCTTTAGTGTAGACAGTGTTGCACTGTGTTGGCCAGGCTGGTCTCAAACTCCTAACTTCAGATGATCTACCCACCTAGGCCTCCCAAAGTGTTGGGATTACAGGTGTGAGCCACTTCGTCTGGGCTGCTTTTTTTTTTTTTTTTTTTTTTTTTTTTGAGACGGAGTTTTGCTCTTGTTACCCAGGCTGGAGTGCAATGGCGCGATCTCAGCTCACCGCAACCTCCGCCTTCTGGGTTCAGGCAATTCTCCTTGCCTCAGCCTCCTGAGTAGCTGGGATTACAGGCACGTGCCACCATGCCCAGCTAATGTTTTGTATTTTTAGTGGAGACGGGGTTTCACCATGTTGACCAGGATGGTCTCGATCTCTCGACCTCGTGATCCACCCGCCTCGGCCTCCCAAAGTGCTGGGATTACAGGCTTGAGCCACCGCGCCCGGCCCTTTTTTTTTTTTTTTTAGAGATGGAGTCTCGCCGTGTCACCCAGGCTGGAATACAATGCTGCAATCTCTGCTCACTGCAACCTCCACCTCCCGGGTTCAAGCAGTTCTCCTGCCTCAGCTTCCTGAGTAGCTGGGATTATAGGCTCACGCCACCATGCCCAGCTAATTTTTGTATTTTTATTAGAGACAGGGTTTCACCACGTTGGCCAGACTGGTCTTGAACTCCTGGCTTCAAGTGATCTGCCTGCCTTGGCCTCCCGAAGTGCTGGGATTACAAACTTGAGCCACCATGTCCAGCCTTATGTTTTCCAGTTGAGAAGGCATTTTGTGTACCCTTCTAGGCTTCTGAGCAAAAAGTTTATCAGGCTCTCTGTGTTCTTTTTTTTTTTTTTTTTTTGAGACGGAGTTTTGCTCTTGTTACCCAGGCTGGAGTGCAATGGCCCGATCTCGGCTAACGGCAACCTCCGCCTCCTGGGTTCAGGCAATTCTCCTGCCTCAGCCTCCTGAGTAGCTGGGACTACAGGCACGCGTCACCATGCCCAGCTAATTTTTTTTGTATTTTTAGTAGAGACGGGGTTTCACCATGTTGACTAGGATGGTCTCGATCTCTTGACCTCGTGATCCACCCGCCTCGGCCTCCCAAAGTGCTGGGATTACAGGCTTGAGCCACCGCGCCCGGCCACTCTCTGTGTTCTTTAATACTTTTTACTTATGTTCACAGTGATCCTAAGGCCAAGATGCAGCCCTAAGCTCCTCATAGAAGGAGTTTTTTTGTTTGTTCGTTTGTTTTTGAGATGAAGCCTTGCTCTGTTACCCAGGCTGGAGTGGCATGACCTTAGCTCACTGCAACGTCTGAGCTGTATTTTAAAGGAAGATACTCAATACTCTAGGAAGTAGATCATCAAAAAAATTTAAAAAGGAAGAAAGATGCTATAGAAATATGGAATGCTTATACAGTATTCATGAGGTTTTTTTTAAGTTTCATGTTTCTAATACTTAGATAACCTTGAATGTAATTCTCCATCTCTTCCCCTTTATCCTCCATCTTTTTTTTTCTTTCTTTTTATTTTGTTTTTGTTATTTTCCTCCATCTTTCATCAAAGGAAAAAAAAAAATCAAAGCAGTGCAAGTACTCTCTTTTTTTTTTTTAATTAATCCAAATTCCTTAGAAATGTTGCTGTTTGGGTGAGAGTTCTACTGAATATCTCAATTTCACAGCCAGCAATGACACTTTCAGCAGAAAGTTTTCTTGGCATAAACTCGTTAGTTCTCAGACTGCTTACTCATAAGTTCTTGAGAACTTGTCGACGATGCAATCTGTTTCGTCTTGAAGAGCACGAGACTCAGACGGTTGTCACTTTGGGGAGAGCACACAGCATCTCAAACAGCAGGTTAGCCGCCAGCAGGGCCGTGTTCCCTATGAAGAAGTAAAACCTGACATGAATGCCCTACAGACCACCCCCTGAACCAAGCCTTGGGACCCCTCAGCTTTCTTCCCTGTGCCTCCTTTTCCATGCTTGCCCGGCCCCTCTGCCTCCATCAGGCATCATTTGGAAATCTTATTTTAAAATTCAGAAAGTTCTTCGTTTATTCTGAGAACAGATTTTTCCCAAAGGAGAACCTATAATAATGATGTGTACTTTATTTCTTATCTACCTTCTGAGGTCGATAGACCTAACTCCATAAGCTTGTCTACATTAAAATTATTGGGATGGCATCTCCTTTGAAGATCTTAACATAGATTAATGTTTATCAAGCAGGAACCTAGCTGGTTATGTCACCCTATCACTAGACTGCAAACTGCTTTCTTCTGCTGATTGGTGGGCAAGCTAATAATACTTAGCTACCTCCCAGGGGTTTTGTTAGGGTGAATTAGCTCATGTTTGTAAGTGTGCAGTAATAGATATGTTTTCTTCACTGTTGGACATGCTCAGCCAGTTCCCCGAGTCATATAAGAGGACTCATCCATTTTCTTCTTTTTTTGTTTTTTTGGGTTTTTTTTTTTGTTTTGTTTTGTTTTTGAGATGGAGTCTCACTCTGTTGCCCAGGCTAGAGTGCAGTATTGTGATCTCAGCTCACTGCAACCGCCGCCTCTCAGGTTCAAGCGATTCTCCTGCCTCAGCCTCCCAAGTAGCTGGAATTACAGGTGTGTGCCACCACACCCAGCTAATTTTTATATTTTCAGTGGAGACGGGATTCACCATGTTGGCCAAACCAGTCTTGAACTCCTGACCTCAGGTGATCTGCCCACCTCACCGTCCCAAAGTGCTGGGATTACAGGCGTGAGCTACTGTGCCGCAGCCCCATTTTCTGCTTACTAACTAGCTTCCTATAATTTAAGCTAGCAGCTGCCCATGGATCACCGTCTTCTTGCTTACTCACCAGAAAGATCATATGGTGGTGAAACTTCTACAAGGTCACAGCCCACCACATTCAGGCCTTGACAACCCCGGATGATCTCCAGAGCCTATTCAAGATCAAGACTGAGTTGTCCACTGTGGTAATCATTTACAATGAAAAGCACCCAGCAGAGCTTTTCCCAGCATACGCCACTCTTTGGCTTGAGTTTGCTTCCCCTCGATAAACATTTATGGACTGCCAGGCACACTGGCAGGCCTCCCAGAGACACAGATTATGTACACACCCCCTGCTCCTGTGTGCTGCGTGGTGTGATGGAGACAAGGAAACCAATTGTTTCAATGTCGTGCACAAAGGGCTTCAAGAAAAGCAAGCCCAGAATGGTATCAGCAGAGGTAAGAGCCTGGAGCGGTGGGTAAGGCTTCCCCACGGTGGAAATACTTAGTTCAAGGGATAGGCCAGGCAGAGGGAAAAACGCAGGCAAAGGCACCCAAGTGCAGGTAGTGCGATGTGGCCAGAAGACTGAATAAGTGAGGGAGACTGGGAATAGAGTGACCTTGTCTAAAAGAGTTTCCATCCTGCAGGTGAAAAGCCCAGAAGGTTACTAAGCAGAGGGATGAGGAAAGTGTTTCACAAATCCTTCATGGGAACAGAGAATGGTTACAACCATTTCAAGAGAGAGAGTTAAGATTTTAGAGGATGTAAGGTACTTGATGAGGTTTAAGCAGTTTCATTCATTTTACTCACAAGTATCTTTGAGTGCCTACTATTTGTATGTATCAGGCACTGTCCTGGGCTCCAAGGACAACGTAGGGAACAATACATAGGTCCTGCCTTCCTGGACCTTTTAGCCATAACCATTCTGCCTCCATGCATTTACTCCCAGCACACATTATTGGAGCTTTATTTGGGTGTTTCTTAAAGTTTTAAGCTACCTTGGTAAGTAGTTGTGCCATCACGTGCACTTTTTTTTTTTTTGAGACAGGGTCTCTGTCACCCAGGCTGTAGTGCCGTGGCGTGAGCATGGCTCACGGAAGCCTTGACCTCCGGGGCTCAACTGATCCTCCTGCCCTAGCCTCCCTAGTGGCTGGGACTACAGGTGTGCACTAGCATACCAGACTAATTTTTTAATTATTATTTTTAGTAAAGATGGGATCTCACTAGGTTGCCCAGGCTGGTCTCAGACGCCTGGGCTCAAGCGATCCATCCACCTCAGCCTCTCAAAGTGCTGGGGTTACTACTGCGTGAGCCACTGCATCTGGCCCATTGTATGCACTTTTATTTAAATTGAACCCTCAAAAGATAAGTTTAGTGGGTTTTTTTGTTGTTTTTTGGTTTTTGTTGTTTTTTTGTGTGTTTTTTTGGGGGGTGTTTTTTGGTTTTGATTTGATTTGTTTTGTTTTGTTTTTGAGACTAAGTTTTCGTCTTGTCGCCCCAGGCTGGAATGCAATGGCTCGATCTCAGCTCACCTCAACCTCAGACTCCTGGGTAGCTGGGATTACAGGCATGTACCACCATGCCCGGCTAAGTTTGTATATTTAGTAGAGATGGAGTTTCTCCATGTTGGTCAGGCTGGTCTAAAACTCCTGACCTCAAGTAATCCACCCGCCTCAGCCTCCCCGAGTGATGGGATTACAGGCATGAGCCACAGCGCCTGGCCAAGTTTAGTGTTCTTAAGAGGGGATACTATAAACCGGGCACAGTGGCTCACACCTGTAATCCCAGCACTTTGGGAAGCCGAGGCAGGCAGATCACAAGGCTGGGAGTTTGAGAACAGCCTGGCCAACATAGTGAAGCCCCATCTCTACTAAAAATAAAAAATTGGCCAGGTGTGGTGGTGGGTACCTGTAATCCCAGCTACTCGGGAGGCTGAAGCAGGATAATCGCTTGAAACCACAAGGTGGAGGTTGCAGTGAGCCAAGATCGTGCCACTGCACTCCAGCCTTGGCAAAAGAGTAAGACTCCATCTCGAAAAAAGAAGAAAAAAAATTATATATATACACACAAACATACACATGTCTATGTATATATATATGTGTGTATATATGTGTGTGTGTGTGTGTATAGATAGATAGATAGATATAGATATAGATATAGATATGTAGAGAGAGATCTTAACCTGATTCCTAAAGATTCGCTTCAAGTCCCAGAAAAATGGATGTTAAGTATCTCCACCCCCAGGAATCTTCACTGGAGGAGTCTCCTTACCTGACTAGGGGTGAGACCAGCAATTTCAGGTGTCCCTGTCCCTGGGGCATAGGCAGGATCCAGGGCATCAATATCAAAGCTGATATAAATGGGTTTGCCTCCCATCTGCTGCCTGACTTCCCCCATCAGAGGAACCAGCGACTTCATCCAGCAGTCTTCAGCCAGGACCACCCGGAAGCCCTGCAGAGACGGACTCAGGCTTCTGCCTGGCAGCATTTACAGGGCGTTTCCTGTTTGTCAGCCCCACGCTCAGCTCTATCACACTTTACCCTCCACCTCCACGAGAAGGGAACTATCACCCTCATTTTACAGGTGAGGGAGGGAGGGACAATGACTGGTAAGGAAGCAGGGTCAAAGCTGACGTCTGGAGTTGGGATCAGAGAGAAGCTTTGCTAAAGCCAGAGTGGGAAACTCAGCAGCTCACGCTAGCACCTTCTGAACTGCTCTGTCCAGAAGACTGGCCTTGGCACACTAGAAGCAAGGGATTTGGGTTTTTCCCCTTGGGGTCTTGTCACACCTATGTACATGAGAGCCATTCTGCCTAGAGGGTATGAGGACCAAAACTAAGAAGGTGACAATTTGTCTTGGGTCTGGACCTCCTCCCCTCTTTTTTTTCTAGATGGAGTCTCACTCTGTCACCCAGGCTGGAGTGCAGTGGTGCGATCTCGCCTCCCAGGTTCAAGTGATTCTCCTGCCTCAGCCTCCCGAGTAGCTGGGATTACAGGTGCACGCCACCACACCAGGCTAATTTTTGCATTTTTAGTAAAGACAGGGTTTCACCATGTTGGCTAGTCTGGTCTTGAAGTCCTGACCTCAAGTGATCCACCCACCTAGGCCTCCCAAAGTGCTGGGATTACAGGCATGAGTCACCTTGCACGACCTCCTCTCTTTCCTAAGCCAGCACCATCTGAGGGGTTGGTGGGTTTCTGCTTGTCTCCCCACCCCAGCAATAGACTTCCTGTAAGTCAGCCCCTCACCCTGTTCTCCCTGTGCCCCGATGATGCAAACTCAGCCTCTTGTCCCTGCTTTCTGACTTGATTAGTAAAGCCCCTGCTGAATCCCTGGTTGCCACTAGTGAGGAAATGGAGAGGAAGGCATTTTGGGGGCAGGGGTGGGGGGCATTCGATCTGTCACCTGGCTCCGGTTGTATCTGTAGGGATCCAAGGTCATGGAAGAGCCCCGGATGCCAATCTGCACCACCCGCTTACAGTCCAGGAGACCCTCCTCCACACAGCGGCGGAAGGGCGTCCCGTGGTAGAGCTTCTCTCCTAGGGCCTTGTCGGCCGTGTCCGTGTGTGCGTCCACATGCAGCAGCCCCACAGGGCCATGCCTGACGACAACAGGACAGCTCAGAGGCCAACCCTCCCTGCGGGGCCCTAGCGCAGCCGCCCTTCAGGCCACCAAACTTGGTCACAGTTCACAGCCACAAAGGAGGGGAGACCTGGCATCAGTTTTCTTTTTCTTTCTTTTTTTTTTTTTTTTTTTTTGAGACAGAGTCTCGCTTTGTTGCCCAGGCTGGAGTGCAGTGGCTTGATCTCCACCTCCCGGGTTTAAGCGATTCTCCTGCCTCAGCCTCCCAAGTAGCTGGGAATACAGGCAAGTGCCACCACGCCCGCAGAATTTTTTTAGTAGAGACGGGGTTTCACCATGTTAGCCAGGCTGGTCTCGATTTCCTGACCTCGTGATCCACCCACCTCAGCCTCTGAAAGTGCTGGAATTACAGGCGTGAGCCACCACGCCCCCCCACTGGCATCAGTTTTCTGCCTTGCAACTGGTTTCTTTCTTCCTGATATCACTTAGCATCTCAGAGGAACAATAAACTCACAGAAGTCAGGCAGGAAATAGACATGTTTTGGGTGCCATCCACACCTATCACCCAGAATTTGCTTCATTTAGAGACAGGATAAGAATCAAGGGTGGTGGCACAGGTGAGCTTGGCTGAAGGCTTAACTAAACCAAGCCACCCTTTCTCCGACCAAGGAAGAGGAAGCTTCAACCCAGCTCTCTCTCCATAACCTCCATCAGCCCCTGCCAGCCACCCAAAATAAACATCTGATCCAAAACGGTGAGAAATAAATGCAGCTTGGAGCAAAGACCTGCACCCACCCACCTCCAACCAGAATGCCACCCACATGTGCTTCCATAGACACATTCTGGAGCTGCCACCCTCCACCCCAGCCCTTCTGTCTGTTTCTCAAACTAAATTAGCCAAAGCCGGCCAATCCCCGGTTGACTTCCATGACTGGCAAATCAGTCTTTTTGACTGTCTGGGAAAGGCACCCTTTTAGGAGGAAACGGGGGCCTCTCAGCAAGCTCCACCGTTGTGCCTGTCAGCGTTTGGCCGTTGAAGCAAAACAGAAACACGTTAACTGGGGTTGTATATTTCACTAGAGGCTCAACTTCCAAAAACAGGCGAGTTGAAAATGCTGAGCACACATACGAGGACAGATCTAGGGCAAGGGAGGGTGGCCAGAAGTGTTAATAATAAATTGTCTTGGCTTCTAGCTGGTGACTGACAGAGACACCTGGAGCTCAACTTTAATTTTGATCCCCAAAACCAGCTCAGCTGGAAATTTCTTATCATCCCCCATAACCTGAGCCAGCAGCAGTCACCTAACGCCACCTAACAGCAAACAGCTCATTCCCTAACTTCTGGCTTTTGAAATCTTGCTGGGGCCAAGCCATTTGGGACTTACTTTTTTGCCATTGCTTGCAATATGGGATATGTGATTGTGTGATCTCCACCTGCAAAGAGGAAGAAGAAGAAAATGTCTGGAAAGTGAATAGGAGGATTACATAATTTTTTTTTTTTTTTTTTTTTTTTGAGATGTAGTTTAATTCTTGTTGCTCAGGCTGGAGTTCAATGGTGTGATCTTTGCTCACTGCAACCTTCGCCTCCCAGGTTCAAGCAATTCTTCTGCCTCAGGCTCCCAAATAGCTGGGATTACAGGTGTGTGCCACCACACCTGGGTAATTTTTGTATTTTTAGTAGAGACGGGGTTTCACCATGTTGGTCAGACAGGTCTCAAACTCCTGATCTCAAGTGATCCACCCGCCTCAGCCTCCCAAAGTGTTGGGATTACAGGCGTGAGCCACCACGCCCAGCTAAATCTGAAAGTAACCCACCTTTCACCCTTTTAGACTAGGGAGCTATAACCACAACTACAGTAAGATTTATTTTTTTGAGATGGAGTTTCGCTCTTATTGCCCATGCTGGAATGAAATGGTGTGACCTTGGCTCACCGCAACCTCCTGGGTTCAAGCAGTTCTCCTGCCTCAGGCTCCTGACAGGCATGCATCACCATGCCCAGCTAATTTTGTATTTTTAGTAGAGATAGGGGGTTTCTCCATGTTAGTCAGGCTAGTCTTAAACTCCTAACCTCAGGTGATCTGCCCGCCTCAGCCTTCCAAAGTACTGGGATTACAGGCGTGAGCCACCATGCCTAGCCAATAAGATTTTATTGAATGGTGGGATGCTTAATGAGCCTGGGAGGTCAAGTCTGCAGTAAGCTGTGATCGTGCCACTGCACTTCAGCCTAGCTGACAAAGCCAGACACTGTCTCAAAAAAATAAATAGCTTGAGCCTAGGAGTTTGAGACCAGCCTGGGCAACATGGCAAGACCCCCGTCTCTAAAAAATAAGAATAGGCCAAACACAATGGCTCACACCTGTAATCCCAACATTTTGGGAGGCTAAGACAAACAGATCACCTGAGCCCAGGAATTCAAGGTCTGCCTGGGCAATACAGTAAGACTCGGTCTCCGCAAAAAATAAAAACATGAGCCGGGCATGGTGGCAAATGCCTGTAAACCCAGCTACTCAGGAGGCTGGAGTGGGAGGATCACATGAGCCCAGGGAGGGCAAGGTCGCAGCAAGCCATGACTGTGCCACTGCATTCCAGCCTGGGTGACAGAATGAGACCCTGTCTTGAAAACAAACAAATAAATAAAAGAGGAAATTGGACAAATTAAGAGTTACTCTAGGTAAATGCATTTTCAGAGTATTCTAGGAAAATGCCTAGGATAGCTCTGTTCGATAGAACCTTCTATGATGATGGGACTGTTCTATCTGCACTGGCCCATATGGTAGCCACTAGCCACGTGTGACACACGCGACATACACGTAGCGAATATGACTAAGAAACTGAATATTTTAATTAATTTGAATTTAGCCACATGTGGCTAGTGGCTACTATATGGGCCAGAACTAGGAAAGTATTCTTTCTGTTAATCATAATAACTAACGTTTATTGAAACTTAAGATATACCATGCATAGGCCAGGCACAGAGGCTCACGCCTGTAATCCCAGCACTTTGGGAGGCCGAGGCAGGTGATCACCTGAGGTCAGGAGTTCGACACCAGCCTGGCCAATATGATGAAACCCCGTCTCTACTAAAAATACAAAGATTAGCCAGGCATGGTGGCATGCATCTGTAATCCCAGCTATTTGGGAGGCTGAGGCAATAGAATCACTTGAACCTGGAAGGCAGGGGCTGCAGTGAGCTGAGATTACACCATTGCAACAAGAGCGAAACTCCCATCTCAAAAAAAAAAAAAAAAAACATGCCCATGCATAATGCTGGGCATTTCATATGCACTTTCATTTATGCCCCTCACACCATGCAGTGAAGTAGGTGTGATTACGATCATTCCCATCCTACAAGTGAGGGTGTGAAGCATCAAGCAAGGTATGCAACACTCTAGGGAGAAATGCAGCTGAGACTTCAAACCACGCCATCCAGAAACCACACTCCTCCCACTCTGCCATGTAGGCTAGGCTCTCTCATTTGGCAAAAATAATTTTGGATATTTAGGAAAAAGTCCCTGTCATTTTAAGTATTTGTGAACAAGAGAAAAAGTGAGAGTGGGTGGACGGTGAGGATAAAGGGAAAGCTGCCGTATAGGTCGATGTAGACCCTGAGCAGGACAGAAACACCCTCAGGACAGAAACACAGCTCTCCTCGAAGATAAAGTCATTAGAAACATCCTCTTGGCTGGGCGCGGTGGCTCACGCCTGTAATTCCAACACTGAAAGGCCAAGGCAGGTGGATCACCTGAGGTCAGGAGTTTACGAGGCTGGCCAATATGGTGAAACCTCGTCTCTACTAAAAATAAAAAAATAGCCGGGCGCGGTGGCTCAAGCCTGTAATCCCAGCACTTTGGGAGGCCGAGGCGGGTGGATCACGAGGTCGAGAGATCGAGACCATCCTGGTCAACATGGTGAAACCCCGTCTCTACTAAAAATACAAAAAATTAGCTGGGCATGGTGGCACGTGACTGTAATCCCAGCTACTCAGGAGGCTGAGACAGGAGAATTGTCTGAACCCAGGAGGCAGAGGTTGCGGTGAGCCGAGATCACGCCATTGCACTCCAGCCTGGGTAGCAAGAGTGAAACTCCATCTCAAAAAAAATAAAAAATAAAAAAATAGCCGGACATGGTGGTGGACACCTGTAAACCCAGCTACTCAGGAGTCTGAGGCAGGAGAATCACTTGAACCTGGGAAGCGGAGGTTGCAGTGAGACAAGATCGTGCCATTGCACTCCAGCCTGAGTGACTAGAGTGAAACTCTGTCTCAAAAAAAAAAAAAAGAAAAAGAAAAAAACATCATCTTGGAAATCATTAGAAAGACCCTACTGGCTGCCTTCCTGGGGCTGGAATCAAGGGCTCGGATGAGATGGGGGAGGCACTCCAGTGTGCAAGATGTAAAGTGTGCCAAAAAACTTAGTAATCAAGGTAAATGCTATTTTTTTCTTTGAGACGAAGTCTTGCTTTATTGCCCAAGCTGAAATGTGATGGCACAATCTCAGCTCACTGCAACCTCCACCTCCTGGGTTCAAGTAATTCTCCCTCCTCAGCCTCCTGAGTAGCTGGGAGTACAGGTGCACATCGCCATGCCTGGCTTTTTTTTTTTTTTTTTTTTTTTTTTTTTTTTTTTTTTTTTTTTTTTGGTAGAGACGGGGTTTTGCCATGTTGGCCAGTCTAGTCTTGAACTCCTAACCTCAAGTGATCCACCCTCCTCAGCCTCCCAAAATGCTGGAATTACAGGCATGAGCCACCGTGCCCAGCACGTAAATATTATTTTAATGTAGTATTTTTGGAAATCAAAAATCAATGCCAGGCTGGGCATGGTGCCTCATGCCTGTAATCCCAGCACTTTGGGAGGCTGAGGTGGTCAGATCACGAAGTCAGGAGTTCAAGACCAGCCTGGCCAACACAGCAAAATCCTGGCTCTATGAAAAATACAAAAATTAGCCAGGCACAGTGGAGGGTGCCTATAATCCCAGCTGCTTAGGAGGCTGAGGCAGGAGACTCAATTGAACCCACGAAGTGGACGTCGCACCACTGCACTCCAGCCTGAGTAACAGAGACACACACACACACACACACACACACACGCGCGCGTGCGTGTGAAATATCCTCTCCCCAGAGATTAAAATAAATGAATTGCAATGCTCTCTTTCCTACTGTCTCCATATTCTCAGTGGCTTGCCCAGGAGAAGTAGCTGTACTCAGGCCCCTGATAAATAAACCCTGAGTGCAGGGAACCACTTTCTCCCTTGCAGACTGACATTACCCAAGGTCAGGGGAATACAGCCAGCTGCTACAATTTTCTCATAGGCCTCTTGAATTCGCCGGCAGCTGTCCTGAAGGTTGTAAAGATTGACATTCACATCGCCTAGGTCTGCAACCATGAGGGACTGGAAGGGGAGGGCCCCCGTGCTAGGATTGACCATCCGAAGCATCACTGATTCTTCCCGGATGCGGCGAGGTCCAAATCTGCAGAAGGAAGAATCATCCTGTCAGTCATCTGCGGAGACTTAAGGCTTTACTTAGGCCAGGGCTTCTCAGCCTCAGCCATTTGGGACCAGATGATTCCATGCTGCAATATTGCATAACAAAATCTTTAGCAGCATCACTGGCCTGTACCCACTAGATGCCAGTAGCTCCCTTCCTCCAAGGCGTAACAACCAAATATGCCTCCAGATATTGCCAAATGTACCCTGAGTGCAAAACCGCCCCACTTGAGAATCACTGCCCTGGGCTATACGTGGAAGGAACTAAGGTGTACTGAATGGCATCAATTTCATGACCTCCCTGAGGCTGTTTCCTAATCTGTAAAATATTTACCTTGCACTGTAGTAAGAAATTTTAAATGAGGTAATCTATGCAAAGCACCTTGCACTTAGGAGGCATTTAATAAGCGATGGCTTTCATAATTCAGATCAGTGCAGTCAGACATAGTGTTGCTGAGCTGAATCAGAAATTGCTGGTGCTCAACAATTAGGAAAATGGATTTTACTTCCTCCAACTTGATCCTAGGAAAATTGCTTTCATTTGAGCATTTTTGAGTCAGGTGACATCCCTTAGGATGTCATTTGGGGAAGGGACAGCCAGTTTCAGCTCTCAAATGCAATGTCACCTGCCACTGTAAGCTGGGGAGAGGAGGGGAATCCAGAGCTGCCATCCCAGCAAGGACCCAGGATGGGGACACGGAGAAGGTTCAGGCTCTAGAATCTCTTCCTGACCAATGATGACGTGATGTGGAAGGCCGTCCCCGTGTCGAGCCCTGGGGGTTGCTTGTTGTGGGTCCAGGGAACTCAGCCGTCTCAAACCATAAAGGGCATTTTGGAGCCGGCCACCAACTTCCAACCCGACCCGGAGCCAGTAGGGGCGCCTGTCCCGGTGCTTTCCAGACCCGACAGCCATCAAGCCGTCCCTCCACGTGTCCCGGGTCCAGGACCTTCAGGCCTTACCTCGCCCCGGGCCGGTTTGAGGTCCCAGTATCCAGGGGCACCCCGATGAAGGCAGCGTCCAGCCCCTCGGGGTAGGTCTGCACCGGCAGGCGCATCATAGAGCAGACGCCCACCGGCCGGGCCACGAACTCGGAGCTCGGGGGCTGGTTCCGCGGCGTGTCGGAAGCCTGGCGGATCTGGCGATGTCCTGGGTGGCAGAGTCCCGCGGCAGGACGCGCGAACACGCCAGGCCTCGGGTCCCGGGCGCAGCCGGACGCCAGGAGCCGCAGCATTGCCGCGCGCTCGCCCGAACTCACCGACCAGACCACCAGGGAGGCCGCCGCGATCTGGCTGGTCCAGAAGCGAGGCGAGTGTGCACGTGCGGGAGCCGGAATCTGAACCGGCTCAAAGGTCAGCGGCGCCCTGGGAACAAGGCGGGGGAAGGGCCCCAGGGACCAGCCGTGCTCTCTCCTCAACCCCTCTGGACTTCAGCCTCTGGCCTCTGATAAATAGAGCCAGGCTGGAGGTGCCCAATGGCCGGCACTGTGCCAGGGATGTCTGCGTCCTGCTCCCCACTGTGGCCTTCAGCAGCCTTTTCTCTCATTCAGAGTAATTTTGTTTGTTTTTATAGAGACAGGGTCTCACTATATTGCCCAGGCTGGTCTCGAACTTCTAGACTCAAGTGATCCTCCCACTTTGGCCTCCAAAAGTGCTGGGATTACAGGCGTGAGCCACAGCAGCCAGCCCAGAATAATATTTTTTTTTAAGTCAGAAAGATATGAAGGAAAAACGATCTTTCTTTAAGCCAGAAAAATAAAATAAGGAATGCTTTTTTTTTTTTTTTGAGATGGAGTCTTGCTTGGTCACCAAGCTGGACGGTAGTGCACTGGCATGATCTCGGCTCTGGGGTTCAAGCGATTCTCCTGCCTCAGCCTTCCGAGTAGCTGGGGCTACAGGCATGTGGCCACACCAACTAATTTTTGTATTTTTAGTAGAGACAGGATTTTACCATGTTGGCCAGGATAGTTTTGATCTCTTGACCTTGTGATCTGCCCGCCTCGGCCCCCAAAGTGCTGGGATTACAGGTGTGATCCACTGCGCCCGGCCAGGAAATGCATTTTTTAAAAAAAATAGTGTATTTTTAAATGTCCAGGGATGGGAGTCTCAAGAAGCAGTGAAGTTAGTTAGCTAGCTAGCTAGTTAGTTATTTTGAGACCGGGTCTTGCTCTGTTTCTCAGGGTGCAATTCAGTGGCATGATCGTAACTCACTGCAGCCTCAAACTGCTAGGCTCAGGCGATCCTCTCACCTCAAACTCCCGACTAGCTGCCACTACAGGCGTTGCACACCTGGCCAGTTAAGTCTTTTTAAATAACTGTGTTTAAAAAAAAAAGGACTTAGAGGCAAGCTGTAGGGAAGGTCACAGTGCCGGAGAGCCCACTACATCCTCTTTATTTCTAAGGGGAAAGAGAAACACTGTGGACAAAGAAAAAAAGTGATTCATAATGGAATTATGTGAGCCATTTAGTGGTATTACTGATATTTTTCTGATCTCTAGATGTTGAGATTGAATGGAAAAAGCTCACATTTGCATTAGGCTGTAACCTCTACACAAAAGTCGCACATTAAACCCCACACCACGCCAGCCTCCACCCTGCAGGTTGGAGCAGTTTCCCAATGGTCAATAATCAGTACTCAGTGTTGGCCTATGAGCCGGTCCCAGCCATTTTCTGGAACAAATACAATAATCTCTCAGTTATTCTTTTTTTTCTTTTTTTTTTTTTTGAGACGGAGTTTCGTTCTTGTGACCCAGGCTGGAGTGCAATGGCGCAATCTTGGCTCACCGCAACCTCCGCCTCCTGGGTTCAGGCAATTCTCCTGCCTCAGCCTCCTGAGGAGCTGGGATTACAGGCACGCGCCACCATGCCCAGTTAATTTTTAGTAGTTTTAGTAGAGGCGGGGTTTCACCATGTTGACCAGGATGGTCTCGATCTCTCGACCTCGTGATCCACCCGCCTCGGCCTCCCAAAGTGCTGGGATTGCAGGCTTGAGCCACCGCGCCCGGCTCTTTTTTTTTTTTTTTTTAAGACAGGGTTTCACCATATTGGTCAGGCTGGTCTCAAACTCCTGACCTCAGGTGATCCACCCGCCTCAGCCTCCCAAAGTGCTGGGATTACAGGCATGTGCCACTGTGCCTGGCTGCCTTTTTTTCTTTGGGGTGTGTGTGTGTGTGTGTGTGTGTGTGTGTGAATTTGTAATCCTGTATATGTCAACAGGTATATCCCACATAAGAAAAGCTTTCTGAGATCCTCAATACTTTTTTTTTTTTTTAACTTTTTTTTACAAACAGGGTCTGACTGTCTCACAGGCTGGAGTGCAGTGGCACTGTCATGGCTCACTGCAGCCTTGAATCCTAGGACTTAATTGATTCTCCCACCTCAGCCTCCTAAGTAGCTGGGACCACAGGCGCACAGCACCTCAACTGGATAGTATTTTTAAAAATTTTTTGGCCAGGCATGGTGGCTCACTCCTGTAATCCCAGCACTTTGAGAGGCCAAGGTGGGTGGATCACGAGGTCAGGAGTTCTAGACCAGCCTCCTGACCAACATGGTGAAACTCCCATCTCTAAATAAAAAGAAATTTTTTTCTTTGGGCTTGGTGGCTCACACCTGTAACCCTAGGACTTTGAGAGGCCAAGGCAGGCAGATCACATGAGGTCAGGAGTTCAAGACCAGCCTGACCAACATGGAGAAACCCAGTCTCTGCTAAAAATACACAAAATTAGCTGGGCATGGTGATTACATGCCTGTAATTCCAGCACTTTGAGAGGCCGAGGCAGGCAGATCACAAGGTCTGGAGATCGAGACCATCCTGGCTAACACAGTGAAACCCCGTCTCTACTAAAACTGCAAAAATTGTGCCGGGCGCAGTGGCTCAAGCCTGTAATCCCAGCACTTTGGGAGGCCGAGGCGGACAGATCACGAGGTCAAGAGATCGAGACCATCATGGTCAACATGGTGAAACCCCATCTCTACTAAAAATACAAAAAATTAGCTGGGCATGGTGGCGCATGCCTGTAATCCCAGCTACTCAGGAGGCTGAGGCAGGAGAATTGCCTGAACCCAGGAGGCGGAGGTTGCGGTGAGCCGAGATCGCGCCATTGCACTCCAGCCTGGCTAACAAGAGCGAAACTCCGTCTCAAAAAAAAAAAAAAAAAGAAAAGAAACTGCAAAAATTAGCTGGGGGTGGTGGTGGACACCTGTTAATCCCAGCTCTTCGGGAGGTTGAAGCAGGAGAATTGATTGAACCCAGGACGTGGAAGTTGCAGTGAGCCGAGATTGTGCCACTGCACTCCAGCCTGGCGACACAGTGAGAGTGAGACTCTGTCTCAAAAAAAAAAAAAAAAAAAGTTCTGATTATTATTGCATGTAGCAAGTGTGCAAATATCAAGCATAAAACCTGATATTAAACAGCCACTTCACAGAAAAGCTAAAACTTGGCCAGGTGCAGTGACTCATGACTACAATCCCAGCATTTTGGGATACCAACAAGGGAGGACCTGCTTGAACCCAGGAGTGCAAGACCAGCCTGGTCAACATAGTGAAATGTGAGATGTCATCTCTCTCTCTCTCTTTTTTATTTTTTTTTCTGAGATAGAGTCTTGCTCTGTCACCCAGGCTGGAGTGCAGTGGCACCATCTTGGCTCACTTCAACCTCCATCAAACAATTTCATGCCTGGAATTACAGGCATGAGCCACTGCACCTGGTCTAGACCCCATCTCTACAACTAAAAAATCAGCTGGACATGGGGGCACAAGCCTGTGGTCCCAGCTACTCGGGAGGCTGAAGTGGGAGAATTGCTTGAGTCCAGGAGGACGAGGCTGCAGTGAGCTGTGGTCGTGCCACTGCACTCCAGCCTGGGTGACAGAGCAAGACCCTGTCTCAAAAAAAAAAAAAGGCTAAAATTTGAAAATACTGTATTTGGAGATTTTATATTAGCTCAATATTTAATGCTTTATACAAATTGTATCATTTTCTATGTGTGCCATGACAGGAAGAAGGGTGGGAAGTACCCGTCTAGTAAACTATAATTTCCAATATCTGCTTCATCCTCTTGGGTGTCCTCCAAGGGCAGTACCTTGTAAAACACAAGTAATAAATGTTTTGTGAGTGACTGAATGATTGAACAGATCTTCTACAACTGTGAAAAGCAGCTCTGGGGTGGGGAGTATTTCAGTCAACAAAACTGACAGCCAGAGTGTGGGCAAAACACCGTGTGCATTTCAGTTGTCTGGACGGATTCCCTTTGGCCTGCTGAATGGCGAGGCAAGGGCTCTGCAAGAGTCATCGCTGAACTTGTCTGTACTTGCAGAAGCTCAGAAATGACCCTGCGGCAACTCCAGCCTCCCCAGGCTGCCTGCCTGTGACACTCATTCGCCTTGCTACGTCCTCAACACTCATCTTCACCTTTCTTGTCCCCTAGCCCTAAATAAAAACATAGATATTGTTTAGCATGTTCAGAATCCTTTCATCTGTTAAAGAAAAAAAATTAGCCTGGGTAGGTCGGTTGCTGTGGCTCACACCTGTAATCCCAGCACTTTGGGAGGCCAAGGCAGGCGGATAACCTGAGGTCGGGAGTTCAAGATCAGCATAACCAACATGGAGAAACTCCTTCTCTACTAAAAACAGAGAATATTAATCAGGGATGATGGCACATGCCTGTAATCCCAGCTACTTGGGAGGCTGAGGCAGGAGAATTGCTTGAACCTGAGAGGCAGAGGATACATTGAGCCGAGATTGTGCCATTGCACTCCAGCCAGGGCAACAAGAGGGAAACTCCATGTCAAAAAAAAAAAAAAAAAAAGCCTGCGCAACATAGTGAGACCCTGTCCCCTCCCCCCAAAAAAACAACTTTTTTTTATTAGCTGGGCATGGTGTCCCATGCCTGTAGTCCAGACACTCGGGAGGCTGAAGCAGGAGGATTGCTGGATCCCGGGAGCTGGAGACTGCTGTGAGCTGTTTGCACCACTGCACTGCAGCTTGAACAACATATCAAGACCCTGACCAAAAAAGAAAAAAGTATCTAATGATACCTGTTAAAGCATGTTAAGGAAAACTTTATTCAGGACCCTTGAGATAGGTATAGTGACCACTACAATGGAATCTTGTAGCTGAGGAGAGAGACTGGGCTCTCAGCTCAATACAGTGTGAAAAGAAGAGAAAATCTCGGGACCTCAGACTCACTACGCCAAAGGGAAAAGTTAAGCTTAGGAAATGAGTGTGTAAAAAATTGCTTTTTTTGTTGCTGTTCGTAAACAGGTAGCTGCAAGATAGAGGCCACATATTTCCCCAGGTGGCCTTCCCCGTCCTGACAATGTAAATTAACAGCTTATTTTCACACGTAAGAGACAAAGATAAGACTGGAGATCATTTCCCCCACCCCTCGCCCCTGCCCCTGCCAAGGAGAC